ATTCTGTGTCTCCCTCTCTCTCTGACCCTCCCCCATTCATGCTCTGTCTCTCTCTGTCTCAAAAATAAATAAATATTAAAAAAAATTTTTTTTAATAAATAAATAAATAAAATAAAATAAAATTCTATCTACTGAGGCACCTGGGTCCAACTCTTGATTTCAGCTCAGGTCATGGTCTCATGGTTCCTGAGATCGGATCCCAATCTGATCAGCAAGGAGCCTGCTTAGGATTCTCTCTCTCCCTCTTTCTCTCTGTCCCTCCCCTAGTTGCACAGTACACTCTTTCTCTCTCAAAACAAACAAACAAACAAAAAAAACTTAAAAATTCTGTCTACTATACTACTGAAGATGTAAGAAATTGGATTTTTGTAACCAAACTTTTTGGGAGGTCACACACTAAACTATAGTTTTGTTTATTAATTACTTTTCATTTTTAATAAGTTTTTATTATACAAATAATATTTTCCCATTCTTTAAAAATTTTACACAAATGTGTAAAGTAAAAAGTCCTCTCCTCCCTTGCTACTATCCTACTTCCAAGTGGCAGCCGCTGCTAAGAGTGGCCTGAATCCTTTCTAAACTTTCCAAAGCAGAGACAATTATATAGAAGGTCTTCCCCCACCAACACACCTACATACATACATACATACATACATACATACATACATACATACGCATGAATATATGCCTTAAATTTTTCTTTGGTAACAAAGAAGATAATGCTGTACACACAAGTCTTTGCAACTTGCTTTTGTCACTTACCTGCTTAGCATGGACCTCTTTCCTTGATACTATGGATCGATTTTCCTCATTCTCTTAAACAGCTGGGTAAAATATTCTATAACTCACAATTTATTTAAATAGTCCTCTATTGACGGATATGTAGGTCTTTTAGAAATGTTATCAATACTGCTGCAGTAATTATCCTGATGGCCACATTTCTGAGTAACTTCCTCGGAGTGAAACTGCTAGGGCATAGTGTAGAGCATATTAAAGTTTCATGGTTTTGCTCGAGCAAAAGGTTGCATCGATTCACAATCTAATTTGTTTAAAAACTACTGTGGGATGCATGCAGCAAAGGCAGTCCTACAAGGAAAAATTAGAAGCCTTTGTCTTCTTTCTAAATACTCTTCCAAGATTTTTGCTACTTTCTTTCTAGCAAGTGGAAATTCTTACTGACATTCTTTCTTCAACTATACCTTGACAACAGGATGAACGTGAGCACTGCAGATTTTTTTTCCACCACATTAATATGTCCCTGTCCTAGGGTGGGTTCTCCCAGAAACAGACTCTGAGACAAAGACGTGGGATGTGCGCACAGGAAACATCAGTTGTGGGGTAGGGAAGTGAGGCAGGAAAAGGGTAGGAAGCCCACAAAGGGGGTGGTTAACAAGTTGGTTATCCCCGTGGACAAATGTAGTTCAGTCCCAGCGGGGAAAACTTCTCAGAGTTATCTTGACGGATGAAAGTTAGGATCTTTTTCTACCAACACTCCCTCCTCACACAGCACTGACCGAAGGGACACTGACTCCCTAGTGCTCTCAGCTTGCCCTGTCGTCATCATCATCATCGTCGGGAGGAGTGTGCCCCTGCTGTGGAATAAAGCCTAAGGTGTTTGCCACAAACAGCCTTCACTAAACGTAAGGGAACCTGGGAGGGCTGCCAATCGTTGGGAACTTCTCACTGAGCACGCTCAAGTGCGGCACCCTGAGAAGCATCCTCCACCCACAGGCATAGGGAGACACAACGACTTCCGATTTCATATCTGAGGAAACAGGCTTAGAAAGGTCAAGAAGCTTCACCCAGAGTCACACACCTAGTACTTGCTGGGGCTCCAAAAACGGAGAAAATGGGTCTTTAGTAAACGAGTATACCCTCTTACTATTATATAAACATAATGTAGTCTCTATGGGACTCCTGACAACATGCTATCCATTCTCCTTGCCCTAGGGCTTTATTTTGGGCTGCTGTGACTTCTGGCCTCATCGCTTTGGTCTCAGTCTGAGGGGATGGCTTGCACAGAGCCAGTCCCACGCCCTTTCTCCAAAAACCAGATTTGTTCATCATTCATCAGGCGGAATTACTTTGAACTAAGGATAAAAGATATAAAACGTCTCATGAGCACTACCTACCTCATAAATGTTGTAAAGGAACAGATCCGCTGCATCTCATTATCTTGTAGTAAAAACAAAGCAACAACTGAAAGGAGCAAAGATGGACAATTGAAAGAGGGACAGAGGGACAGAGGGACAGACGGCTGCCTCAGAGGTTCACCCCCCATACGATACGTGTGGATGATGAACCAGCTACTCACATTTAGCATCATGGAGCGTCACGTTGCCCTGCTGACCTCGCTTCTCTAAGGCTTTAAGTGACTTATCGTCTCTTGAAGCAAGCTTTTTATCCGTCAACCTGTTTTGGAATGGAACAGCCTCTAGCAGTGACTTGAAAGATTTCAACTGTATGTAATTGATCCTGAGATGCATGAGGCTTTTACTATCAAGTAAGGAGAGCCTGAACGTCAAAACCCAAAAATGGGTTTGGTTTCATGTAGGAGAATTTTGGAATGCATTTTATTAAACATTATATTTACCATGCTAAGGTTAGGAGAAATGCACACTACCTGATAGAAAATGTAAATGCCAATTCCATCCAAAACAGATCATTTAGATCATCTATTAAGATCATGTATTTATGGTGTAGCTACCATATTCAGAGTAAAAAAAAAAAAGTATAGGGGCGCCTGTGTGGCTCAGTCAGTTGAGTGTCTGACTATTGGTGGGGGCCCAAGTCATGATCCCAGGGTCATGGGATTGAGCCCCGTGTTGGGCTCCACACTGGGCATGAACGCCTGTTTGAAATTCTCTCCTTCTCTCCCTCTGCCTCTCCCCTGCTCACTCCTATGCACACTCTTTCTCTAAAATAAAGCAAAAAAAAAATTTGTTTAAGTATAAAATGTTGAAAATTTGCTAAGAGCCAAATTATCACCGGGATACATTTACAGGGGCTGGTATAACTCCTCCCACAATTGTCAAATAGCGCGTGTTCTTTCCTTAACAGGTATCTGCATTTCAACCTCAGATAATGGGAGTGACATTTTCTTAGAGTTTGTAAACACTTGAGTCATTCTGCTAAGAGGTGCTATCAGCAGCACTGCCACAGTTGGGAAGTGAAGGTACCTGTCTGAAACCAGACCATCAATTTCAGCAAAGTGTATTGCTTTGCCTTTCTTTCCTTTTTCCTTGAGTTCTACTGCAGGTGTAAAGCTGTAATAGAAATGAGAAAATTAGGAACCGAACCTTCCCATGAAGACTGATGCTATCACAACAGTAACTCATGGCATCTCAGGACTAGCATATGTCATGAGTGGAGTGTGAGGAGAACCTCGGGCACAGAGGTCCTCAATTCGTGTATTTACATATGGAACAACCATCTAGAAAAAAAGATGAACATTTCAGACTTTATATTCAGCCTCTACGTATCAGCAGCCTCCAGAATACCACCATACACGAAACATTTCATTCTGAAGATGTTGTAGTAACTTCACAAGAAACAGAAAGCTCACAGTAAGTTTGGAGAGATGTTTTTATTTATTGAGCACTTGTGCACCAAGTGCTTTTAGGCACAATCTTACTCAGTCCTCACAGCAACTCTATGATTACTAGTATGATTACTCTAATATTACTCGTACAGCCATTTTTACACATGAGAAAAACTGAAGCTCAGAAAGAGATAAGTAGCTTGACCAAGATCACTTAGCATGTGTCAGAGCCTGGATTGGGGCCCAGGATCTCTAGCCTCAGAGCCATGTGCTTACCTACAAGGCAATCCGGCCTCCCGAGCAGCATCTCAGTTGTCACTGCTGTGGACTCTTGTAAGGGCCTTGACTATCTCTTGGGAGGTATCGGTACCGTTTACTTAACTCAGGGTGTCTTAAACTCTATAGTTGTACAAACATTTACTAAGCAGTAATGGGGCTAACAAGGGACCACGACGGAGCAAAAAACATATACTATGAGGCCACACTCCGTCACACATTGCTCTGACATTGAAAAGAAAATGGTGGGGCGCCTGGGTGGCTCAGTCAGTTGAGCGTCTGACTTCAGCTCAGGTCATGATCTCGTGGTCTGTGAGTTCGAGCCTCGCGTCAGGCTC